GTAAACTGCTTAGAGAGGGCTGAAAGCCCTATGAAGCGGTATATAAGTCTAACTGCTATTGCTATTGCTAAATGTGTCAAGAAAAGTCGTAAAACAAATTTTTCACTTAGCAGCATAAATTTTGGGCTGAATTGTGTTCATAAATTGAGGACTACCTGTATTGAAATGGTACAGCTCTCTCATAATCTACCACTTCAGTGAAAACTAAATTGTTGAAAGCCATGTAGCTGATCTGTGGCTTCTGTGAGAAGAAAATATCGCCAAAAATCCATAGATATCTAACACTTTTTAAATAAAAGGCATATGTAGTAATTGTAGCTTTTAGAAACTAGTTCTTTCATGCCCACATAGAACTTACCCAGGAAAATCCAATGCATCCTATGCCCCCAGATAACATATCACCCAAAAGAGCCGGGAAAGAATTGGCAGTAGGGAAATAGGCAAAGAAGTAGGGACTGTGCCAATGAGTCACCTGTGGAAAAGAATATAAACAAAGATTTATCAGAATGAAAAGTCACAAGGCCTTGTTTTAACAAGCATGTTTAAAAAGTGCTGATATTGTCCAAATGTCAGACCATTCGTTGCTAATTATTTTGTTGTAGCTACACAGAACCAAGTAGATAACTATGTCTCCTAGTTTGCATTAATATTCCTGGCATGGAGTATGCTTAAGCTTTTTTACCTGAAGTCAAAGTGAGCAATTCAAATTGAAGCAATTTTGATACTTTTGGCAAGTTATGTCTACATGGCTTTTAAAAGGACCTATCTTTATCTTTTACTAAAATTTTAAAAACAAAAGGGAGAGCAGGGGAGAGAAGCAGGACAGGACCAGGAGAAATCAGCACTTGTGAGAATTCTAGAGCCCTAGTCAGGTTCTGTCTCATTTTATGTTTAAAAAGAAGCCTCTTAGCACTAAAACTAAAATTTAACAATATAATATCACTGGCAAATCAAGTTAGTTCAGGATAAAGGATAAACATACCAGTGGTGGGATTCAAATTTTTTACTACAGGTTCTGTGGGCATCGCTTGGTGGGCATGGCAGAGGAAGGATACTGTAAAATCTCCATTCCCTCCCCACTCCATGTGGGGAGGTTACTGCAAAATCCCCAATTTCCTCTCCATCAGCTGGAACTCAAGAGGCAGAGAATAGATGGGGCAGAGCCAGTCAGAGGTAGTATTTACCGGTTCGTCGAACTACTCAAAATTTCCACTATTGGTTCTCTAGAACTGGTCAGAATCTACTGAATACCACCTCTGAAACATACCCAATCCCTTGAACTAATCACATTTGTCTCTAATTGCAAATATGATCATTGTGGTCTCATATTCAGGTTGTTAACAATGAAACAAAAATAATTCCATGCCATAATTAATGATGGATATAGAAATTGTTGGGGGGAAATTTATATTATAGGGCTTTGTAACACTTATATTTTTGATTATGTTGATGGAATCTGCAGTGTATTTCTTTTTTATCACATATACCCTATAACATATTGCTATAAGCTACTGTAAAAATAGAAGGAGTTGACAATGTACAGTAAATTAAATGATCTGATCTGATCAAATAGCCTGGAAAACATCCTTTATTGAGGATGTTTTTCCCTAGTAAAATGTTTATTAGAGAATATTTAGCTCATTATTAGAATATCACCCAAAGGGACAATGATAAAATTATTCCAGTTGTTTTTGCAAAGAATTCAGATAGATACTTCAAGTAGATATATAGGTCATTTTTCAATTTACATTGCTATTTAAAATGTAAATGACAAAATTTAACAAAATAATTTGATTTAATAGAAACCTTCAAACTAAAATCAGTTTGATATTTTGCACCAAAAAATTATGTCACTCTCTCTATTTAAAGTATGCAAGTCCACAAAATGTTCAAACAAATTTTTTTCCAATGAGTATGTGATTCTTCTGACACAACAAATTGATGAATGATCTCCAATGATCTCTAGCCTATTGTTAAATGAAAAATATAACTATTATAAGAAATCCAAGGGAAGTCTGGAAATTAAACTGTTGGCATGAGCCTGATAACCCATACTGAGATAGACAGATGGACAATAGATAGATAGATAGATAGATAGATAGATAGATAGATAGATAGATAGATAGATAGATAGATAGAAAATCTGTGTTGTTTGCCCAATGAAAGAGAAAAAGA